ACTGATATGCCTAGGAAGGATAGATTCCCACCTTTTGTGCTCATTCTCCTTAGGGCTCATATAGCCCTGACTGGCTTTGAATTCACAGTCCTCTTCCTTCAGCCTCCCTAGTACTAGAATTAGAGATGTGTGCTATCACACCAGGCTTTATCCTCTCTCTCACTCTCTCTCTCTCTCTCTCTCTCTCTCTCTCTCTTAAAGACACGTTTTATTTATCTATTTATTATTTTATATGTATGGAATGTTTTACCTGCATATATGTATACACCATGGGTGTTTCTAGTGCCTGTGGAGGCCAGGAAAGGGTGTTGGATCCCTAGAACTGGAGGTAGAGATGGTTGTGAGCCATCTGTATGGGATCTGCTGGGAATCGAACCTAAGCCACTGGTACTTTTAACCACTGAGTTTTCTCTCCAGCCTTACTTTCCCCCTTTTAACTGCACCCATCTGGACGGAATACACGCAAATACAGGCCTGAGGAAGAGGAGAGCACCTTCCATGTCTGGTCTTTTCAGTAATTCTTAGCAACAGCAGCTTTCATAACAACTGATTTACAGTCTGGGTGTAGGGATGCAGGGCTCTGGTCCCAGCTCTTGGGGGTGAAGACAAGAGAATCTCTTGTTTAGGGCCGGCGTGAGTTATATAGGAGATCCTGTCTTTAAATACAGCAGACTTCATTTCCTGAGCACCACCAAATCCAGCACGTGTGAACCTGGTGTTTTTGTTTTGTTGTGTTCTCCTGTGGTGCTGGGGGTCCAGCTGGAGCCCCACAGATGCTCTGTATGCATGGAGCTGTCTCCAGCTGTTTCTTTCCCACTTCACTGGGCATGGTTATGTGCTTGCCTGTGACCCCAGGGCTGTGTGAGAGGTGGAGACAGGACTGGTGGGCCTGCTAGCCACCAGCCTGTCTAGGATCAGTGTGAAGTCCTATCTCAAGGGGATATGGCTGAGAGTGAGAAGCAGTACCCCAACCTTCTCTGGCCTTTCGCGGAGGTGTTCTCAGTAAGCATACACTTCATACACACACATATGCCCAGAAAATCATGAAGAAAGAATCTCTACAGACAAAGGATGCACATGCTTTGAACTGGGTGGGCATGGTGGCACACACTTGTAATCCCAGCACTCTGGAGATGAGGTAGGAAGATCTCTAGATAAAGACCAGCCCAGCTTACATAGTAAACAGTCCTAAAACAAATGCGAAAGGAGGTGGCATGGTGATGGACAGCAGTTGCTGCAGTTCCAGAAGATGCTGGTTAGGTTCCTAGCACTTGGATTGGGCTGCTTAAAAATTCCTGTAACCTCAGCTCCAGGGGCTCTGATGTCCTCACCTGGTACCTGAGAGTTCCATGCATACATCTGTCATATGTAATTTTTTTTAATGCAGACAAAAAGATTGAGTAATTCTTCATTACTGCCCCTTTTTTCCAAAGGTGTTTGTTGTTTTGGGGTGGGTTTTTGTTGTTGTTATAGTTGTTGTTTTTTGGATTTTTGTTTGTTTGTTTATTTTCTGAAGCAGGGTCTCACTGTATAGCCTTCTAAGTGCTGGGATTAAAGGCATGCACCACCATCACACTTGGCTATGATTTTTCTTATTTACAAAAATTTTTTATCATACAAAATCTCAAATACCCAACAAAGTAAACATAACAAGCTCCATGTGCTATTTTAAGGAACCTTAACACGAAATTGGTCCCTTGTTACTCTCCAGTTTTTAAAATAAAGAATTGTTTTTATTTTATGTATATGAATGTTTGCATGCATGCATGTATGTGTATCACATGTTGTGTCTGGTGCCTGTGGAGGTCAGAAAAGAGCATTGGAGTTCCTGGAACTGAAGTTACAGAAAGTTGTGAACCGCCATGTGGGTGCTGCCAATCTGTAAGAGCAACCAGTGTCCTTAACTGCTAAGTCACCTCTCCAGCCCCTTCATTTTTTTCTTTTTTCTTCTCTCTCTCTCTCTCTCTCTCTCTCTCTCTCTGAGGTGGGTTGTTAATTTTATAGTATACAATGTATTTTGATTGTGGTCACCTCTGTTTTCCCTCCACTTTCCCCCCTTTCCTTAACTCATGTCTGTCCTTCCTTCCTTCTGTCTTCCTTTTTTTTTCTTTTTTTTTTTTAATTCAATGAGTCTGGTTAGTTCTGCCTGTGTGCCCATGAATTGTGGGATCATCCACTAGAGCATGGGCAACTTATCAATGGCCACACCCCCAAATACAAAATGTATAACCCTCTTTCAGAGCCATCAGCTTAGCTCCTCAGCTAGCCATGGGCCTTGTGAACACCTCCCCATCCATGCTGAAATTTTGACTGTCTTGATCTCCCGTAAGTCTTACGCTAACCACAGCTTCTGATGAGTTCATGACTGCAACAGCCATGTCAGCCCTGAGGACAGTATTTCAGAGCACTTCTTCGACTCTCCCACATGTTTTCTGTCCTCCTCTATTCCCTGACCCCTGGGATGGGGATTTGCATAAGTGTCCTAGTAGGTGAATGCAGTCACTTATTCTCAGTGCTCTGACCAGCCGTGTACTTCTGTATTGACTATCGCCTGCTGTATAAAGCTTCTGTGACAAACGTTGCACAAATCTGTAAATATAAATACAGCAAAATAGCACTAGGAGGTTCCCAGTGGGCCTATGACCTCACTCAGCACAGGTGTGAGTTCCTTCCTGTGGAGTAGGCTGCCACCATAGCCTTCATGCTGTCATGCCACTGTTGGGCACATTTTCCCAGGCAGGTCCAGTGCCGAGGAAGACGATTGATAACCTTTCTCCCCAGCAACCACATAGCACCTTCCAGCCCCATGAAAGCACGCCATCAAGGGGGGAGCTTCCTGACCAGTTCTGGAGTGATTTTTCTGTATCTTGCAGTGACAGTATGTGGTGTCTTCAACAACAAGGTCTCATCACAGTTATGGCCAGTCGAGCAATGGCAATAGCCTGCGTTACTTTGGGGGCCTCCGAAGACTCCCTAAGGAATCATTCTCTGGGGATTCCATGGCTGGCACTGAAATTTTTATTTTATAATCTATGCCTCCTGGGAAGCATATGTAGGGTGTCTCTGTTCAAACTCCTTACATTCTATTCTTTACTTAGCTTATATTTCCACTGGCAAACTGAGTCATGGTTGCTTTATCTCCTCGCCAACATTAGAGTTCTCATTCATTTTCATCTTAGTGTGTACATATTCTTCAGAAGAAATAAAAATATACTTTGAGAGTTTTGTGGCTTGTCTTCAGATAGTTGGAAATGCACTATAGTTTGTGCATTCTAAGAACATTTTAAACATGAACTAGAGCGACTGCTCATCAAGATTCTGAGAAATGGCTGCTCTTCCAGAGGACCTGGATTTGAGTCTCTGCACCCACATGACAGCTCACAACTGCCTGTAACTCTGGTTTCAGCAGATCTGACACCCTTACACACACATGCAGGCAAAACAGCAATGCACATGAAATAAAAATAAATTAATTAAAAAAAAGATTTTGAATAATGCCCACAACATGTATGGTTAAAGCTTGTAAAAGAATGCTTTTACTACTTACATCTATTTTATTATTTTATGGTTTCTAAGATATTTCTGATATATTCTTGTTTTGTTGTGAGATAGTGTCCTTACAGGGCCTTGAACTCACAGTCCTGCCTCAGCATCCTGATAGCTGAGATTATAGGCATAAGCAGGTTTTCTTGTGACTTCTAAGGAACTATAAACATTGTTTTAGGTGTTTGTTGCCTACCTATAAAAACTTGAAAAGTAAAGATAATAGTATCAGGAATTCAAGGTCATCCTTGATGACATAAGGGAGTTCAAGGCCAGTCTGGAAAGAGCCTGTTTTTGTTTTGTTTTGTTTTTTGATTTCCTCTTGTTGTTTATTTAAATAAAACACCAGAGAACTGGAGAGATGGCTCAGCAGTTCAGTCTTCCAGAATAGTTTGATTCCCAGCATGCACATGGCTGCTCATAACCATCTGTAACTCCAGTTCTAGGGGACCCTACACTCTCTTCTGGCCTCCACAGACACCAAACATGCAAGTGATGCACAGACATACATGTAGTTAAAACACATAAAATAAAAAAACAAAGCAAAGCCAGGAGGGGGTATTGTGCATGCCTTTAATTCCAGCACTTGGGGAGACAGAAGCAGGTGAAGCTCTGTGAGTTCCAGGCCAACCTGGTCTACAGAATGAGTTCTAAGATAGTCAGGACTATCTTGAAAAACCAAAAAGAAAGGGGGGACAGAAAGAAACTGTTTAAGACCATACAGTAGATCAGCTTACATGTTTATGGAGTTGCTGTAGTTGCTTTTGAGAGCAGGTGCATAGCTGAGTGCTGCTTTCACCATACCCAGTGCTGGATAATGAGTAAAGAAAGCTTGACTTGTACACTGTTCTGTGATTCGCCAGCAGAGGGCTGGCCTGCTTGGCTCTGTTTCCAGCATCATATGGTGAGAACAAGTGATACCTCTAAGACTGGGCTTACAGGTTTATACGGCTATGTCTAGTGAGAGCAGTGCACCTGAAGGGGAGTTAGAGGAGGCCCCTTGTGAAGTACCGTGCTGTCAGGAACTGCTCCACAGGACTTGACTTCTCTCTCAGTGCGCCCGCAGCCCCTTAACCTTGTATTTGTTTCATTTTCACAATTCTGCTGTCTCAGTGTTACCACAGCGAGGACCAAACACACAGCCATTGCTAAACCACTGTCCCAAATGTCCTAGATTTACATTTTGGAACCCTGGATGTTATTTTCAGTTTCTGTCTGTGAGTCCTTTAACACAGTCTTGACATGTACACATTAGCAGAGAATACTGTCTAGTGACAGTATTTACATACTTTGGCGGGGGGCTGTCACATTAATCTGTTTGGCAGTTTGGACGAGGTTTCACCAAGTGAATAGTGTTTATGGCTTTTAAAGATTTTTCCAGTTAATTTTTTTTAAAATTATGTATCTGCTTTTGTACTGTTATCAGTTACTAATAGCAGTCATTTGTTTTATTTCAGTGATGTCCTTGCATTGCCCATTTTTAAGCAAGAAGAGTCCAGTCTGCCTCCTGACACTGAGAACGAAATCCTACCGTTCCAGTATGTTCTTTGCGCTGCCACCTCTCCAGCAGTTAAGCTCCACGATGAGACCCTGACGTACCTCAATCAAGGTCAGATGCTTTCTTGTTTCTTATGCACTGGAGATCACTGGGCTTATGATTGTGACTATAGATGCTCACATGGCAGTGGTTAGAGCTGTGTAATGTGGCCTGTCACACTAGCGCCATATTCTCCTGACTGTTTCCAATTCATGATCCTCAGTTATTCCCGTGGAAATTCCTCTACCCAGCTCTGTTGTCCACCAGTGTCCCCGTGGCCTCGGGCATGTGAACTTTTTATTTACTTTCCTTATCTGTACAGGTGGGATTGACAGTAACTTAGAACACTGTCTGTTAGTGTAATAGGATTTAGAAGTGCTTAGCACAGTGCCTCACTGCTAGTCGGTACTAGTAGTGCTATTGTGTCTATTCAACAGTCTTTCTTCCTGGGTCTAGGTAAGTGAATTGTGATTGGTGTAATTTGTAATTAATTTTCTTCTAGGACAGTCTTACGAAATCCGAATGCTAGACAATAGAAAACTGGGAGAACTTCCAGAAATCAATGGCAAGTTGGTAAAGGTAAAATAAGCAGCCTGTTTTTCTGTGTAATAGTCTTTTACTGATCCTTTTAGTTTTTCCTTTGCTTTTTTTTTTTTTGGCAAAGTCTCATATATCCTAGACTGGCCTTGAATTCTGAATCCTGCCTCAGCTTAGTAGAGTATAATTCCAGGAGTGCACCGTAATGCATAACTGTTGTTTCTTTTTTTCTGTTTCATATTCTTTTGGATCCTTGCAGGCAGGGCTCGGTATCTTTTGTCTGCCACAGTTGACGGCCTGAGAGATAAACTGATGATCTTTGGGATCACAGTAAGCCTTGCTGTTCACATGTAGTTTTTAATTAACTATGTGGCTGTAGGTGTGTACACATGTCACTATTTGAGTGTGGAAGTCAGACACTGTCTTGAGGGACTCAGATTTCTCTTCCTACCACGTGGGTTCCAGGGATTGTCAGTCTTACTTGCTAAGCCATCTTGCTGGGCCTCACATGGGTTTCACAGACTTGCAGAAGGCTTGCAAGTCCTTGTTCAGGAGAGAGTCCTACTGGAGTTGTTTTTGGGTGGTGTAAAATCAGCTCCTTAAGGATTTTAATTGTAACGATAATTTTGACTTGTCTGCTCAGACCTGTGTGATCTGACCTGAAGATTAGGGCAGCACATGGGTCACAGTGTTTCCAGAAGTACGAAAGAATATTGACTTCACTAAATTGAATGCATCATCTAGGACTACCTACCCAGTGAAGGAGACCTGCACACTTTTTGTCCATAAAATAAAAAATTTAAAACAGAACCTAACCCCCAGAGCTACTGTTAATGAATAGAGTTCTTTTTGTCAACTGATGGTAAGAATTTGGGGAACTCACAGCACTTGGTACAGGAGTTTTATCAGCACCTGTAAGAGTGGGGGGGGGTGGCAGCTACCTCCACAAAGGGAGGCCAGCATAAGGAACATAGCCGGGAGTAGCCTATCGACCCTCAGTGTTTATAGGTGTATGTAGGATTGGCGAGTGGGTCCTAGTATGTGTTTCATACCTACCTGGAGGCTTAGGCTGAATTACGTGATATGATAGAAATGCTTCATAAGGCTAGCAGGATGGCTCAACAGGTGAAAATGCTTGCTGCCAAGAATAAAATACTTCTGTCCTTGGCACCTATGTGGTGTAAGGAATCTGTGGTGTGCATACACCCCCACCCCAGTAAGGAAAGAAAGAGGGAAATGTAATAAGCATTACAAAAAGAAAAAGTACTTCACATAATGTACTAATTGGAGGACTGGGAGTCCAAGGCTATAGTATGTCTGAGATCAGACTGGGCTACACAGTGAGACCCTCTTGACTTCACTTAAGAGTGTATTCTCAGTTAACTGTAAAGATGATGTATGACCCCAGCATTTGGGAGGCTGAGGAAGGAGGATCAAGAGTCTGGTACCAAGGGCTAGAGAGATGGCTCACTATATGCCCTGTACTTGCTGCCAGACATGCACCCTGAGTTTGATTCCCAGGACTCACATGGTGGAAGGAGAGAAGAGACTCCCTCCCTCATTTTGTCTGCTGCACATGAATACTGTGGTACATCCCCAGATGCACACATATACACCCACCCATGTGCACACAGATAAGCATCCATGTTTATGCCTTAAAATGGAAAGTCGGATGTCAGTCTGGGCTATATGGCTTCTAATCCTCATCTGAAACAAACACAGAGGTCGTGTGTGAGAACATCTAAGACACACGCAGACAGCTTGGGCGTCTTCAGAAAGGCACAGGAAACGCTGGATTGTGTCTAGCCAGCTAGCATTAACTCCTCTAGTTTTCTTTTGTCTGAACTGGTTTTCTAGACTCCTGTGGACTGACATTGTCCTTCCTTTAGAGCATATTTCGGGTAGTGTTCCACGACAGGCGGCTGCAGTACACCGAGCACCAGCAGCTGGAAGGCTGGAGGTGGAACCGGCCTGGAGACAGGATTCTCGACATAGGTGAGTCGAAAGAAGCTGCTGCTTGGAGAACATCTGCCTGCGTCTAGAGTTGGTTTCCTATTAGGCTTCCCCATTGAGTCCTGATGGAGTGCTTCAAGGCTAATTAGCAGGGACCCTGAAGTGGCTTACTGCTTCACTTTTGGCATCAGGATTGAGTAGGACATGGGCATCGAGTTCCAAAGCAGTTTGTCTGTTGTTTCAGAGTGCATTTGCTTTGAACTGTGGTAATATAAAATTCATATATAATATATAATATGAAACTTAATTCATATATAATATAAAACTTAATTTTTTCCATTTTAGACCATCGAATAATATTAAGTGCATTTACTTTGTTAATTATCACGATTGTCCATTTGCAGAACTTTTTTTGTCCTGCAAGACAGAAATCTGTACTCCACATAAGTAGCTCTTCATTCTGTTTATTCCCAGCCTGTCAGTCACTTTCCTGCCCTGTCATTTTCTGCTTCAGGCACCTCATGCAGTATTTGTCCTTTGTGACTGGCTTCTGTGAGTTGGCATCAGCCTTTCAAGATTCAACCATGTTGCAGCGTGTGTCAGAATTTCTTTCCTTTTCAAGGCAGAAGAGTGATCCAGTGTCCACTACATTCTGTTTACCCCTCTTACCCCTCACCTATGAGGGACACAGACAGCTTTTTTTTTTTTTAATATTTATTCATTTAATATGCATACAATATCTGCCTACATGTCTGCCTGCAGACCAGAGAGGGCACCAGACCTCATTACAGATGGTTGTGAGCCACCGTGTGGTTGCTGGGACTTGAACTCAGGACCTTTGGAAGAGCAGGCAATGCTCTTAACCGCTGAGCCATCTCTCCAGCCCGACACAGACAGCTTTTACCGTTGGGCTTTTTTGAATACCATTCCTGTGCACATGGACATAATAATATTTGTTTGAGCCTCTGCTTTGGTTTCTTGTTTGTCTGAAGCAAGATGTCACTCTGTAGCTGGTAGCCCAGGCTGGCCTTGAACTCGTGGCGACCCTCCTGACTGTCTTGAGTGCAGACTGCTAATATGAGCCACTACAATCAAGGCTTCTGTTTCATTACTAAGAAGTGGGTGTGTTGGACCATATTTCAGTTCTATTTTTAATCTTTTTTTTTCCCCAGAAATGCCTGTAATGCATTTTACCAGTAGTATTCAAATACTCTCTATATTTGACACTATTTGTAAGTTCTGTACCCAGTTCTCAAGAAGTAGAAGCAGGATGATTGAGTCTCCAAAGTTTCCTAATTTTCATATTAGAGCTAGTAGATAGACTTAATCCATCACAGTCAGTTGCTCTCTTACTTAAAACCACGGAAGGCACGGATGGGCGTGGTGACACATTCTTACAGTCCCAGCTTCTCGAGTGACTGAAGCAGAATTGCTTGAGCCTAGGCAATGCATCAAGACCCCCATATTAAAAACAAAAACAAGGAGTCCTCAGAATTGTTCAGTGATTCCTGTTATATTTCTCAGATATTCCAATGTCTGTGGGTATAATTGATCCCAGGGCCAATCCTACCCAACTAAATACAGTGGAGTTCCTGTGGGATCCTGCAAAGAGGACGTCTGTGTTTATTCAGGTAAGGCATTGCAGTCGCCATACAGTTACAAAGAGCACCTGCTACTACCGGTTTGTTTTTTTTAAAGACTAAACAAATACCAGACCTGGAAATGTAGCTCAATTGGTAGAGTGCTTACTTAGCATACATGAGGCCCTAGATTTGACCCCCTGTACCCCATAAGCCTGGTGTGGTGATACACACCTCTAATCTTAGCTCTTGGATAGTAGAGGTAGGAAGATCAAAGCTGCTTAGTGAGTTCAAGGCAGTCAGAGCTATGTGAGCTGTTATCTCAAACAATAAACTGGCAACACTATAGGTGGACATGGCAGTGCATGCTTTAATTACGGCACTGGCAGACCTCTATGAATTTGAGACCGGCCTGATCTACATATCGAGATCCAGGACAGCAAGAACTACATAGAGAGACTTCCATCTCAAAACAAAAGATTCTTGTTTGCACATGAGTTGTGTGCATGCACATGTGCTACACATGCTGGGGATCGAACCTGCAGCCTTCTGCATGCTAACCACACATTCTTTCACTGACTTGTACCTCTGTTCTTCAGGGTTCTAACCTATCGGATTCAGGCATCTCAACATGAAGAGTCTTTTAATTGCTCTTCCGATTTTATACAATTAGAATGTTGTTGTCTACCATTCATTGATTGTAGGTAATTTACATAACAATTATGTAACTGGTAATTGTTCTTTTTTTATTGTTATCCATAGTTATTTTGGACACGCATATACTTAAAGTTTGATTTGCATATGTGATTATGTCCTTTGGGTTAACTCCTCAGAATTTGTTTATTTGTAATAATTTCAACCAGCAGTTCATTGAATACTTACCATTAAGGTTATCACTGTGTTACTACTTTGTAAATATTGTTTTAAGACTTTGAATAATAGTTCTTTAGAACAGGGAGAGTCTTTGAAACATTTAATTTATAATTTTATATTTAAAAATACCCTTTATTATTTTTAGATTATGTTTATGTATATTAGAGTATGGGTTTGTGCATGAGTATAGGTGTCCACAAAGGGTTTGGTTTTTTTTTTTGAGACAGGGTCTTTGATGGCAATAGGTTTGTAAATTTACTTAACTTACAGAGGCCAAAGGCATTTAATCCCACTAGAGCTGGAGTTATAGGCAATTGTGAGCCACGTGATGTGAGTGTTGGAACTGAACTTGGGCCATTTAAAGGCACTGGGACCTGTTTCTACTGCATGTACTGGCTTTTTGGGACCCTACTTTATTTGGATGCACACCTTCCGAGGCCTGAATGAAGAGGGGAGGGCCTTTGACTTCCCACAGGGCAGGGTTCCCTGCTTTCTCTTAAGGAGGGAGGGGAAGGGAGGAGGGGGAGTGGGGGAGCGGGAGGGGAATGGGAAGAGGGTAGGAAGTGTAAATTTTTGAATGGAAAAATTAAAAAATAACACAAAAAAAGAAATTTGAAGAACAACAACAACAACAAAGAATGTGTTCTTAATAGCTGAGCCATCTGTGTAGCCCCAGACTAGACTCTGAGGCCTAGAGTGAGTAAGCAGCCAAGCCAAGCCAGTGAGTGGTCAGCAGGAGCCAAGCAGATCTTCCCTATTACATCTGAGCGTTCGTATTTACTGTTTTCCCAGCCTGAATGTGCCTCTTTTTTAAATCTAGATGAAGGTTCACTAACGTTTTGACAGCTCAGTGTTCTCAGAGGAGTTAATACATTAAGTTACAAGCAGCCTTTTTTGTTGTTTAGTTTTTTTGAGACAGGGTCTTTGATGGCATTTGATCTATAAATTTACTTGCTTACATTTGTAAATTACTAATGTTTCTAATTTCCTCCATTAGACTGTAAGAAATGGAAAGAATTTAATATATATTGATAAATGTCTATTAAAAGTTTTGCCTCTGTTAGTTGCTCCAGAGCGTGGCTGGCTAGTTTGGCCTGTGACACTGGAGCCATGGTGTCACTTCCTTCCAGGTGCACTGCATCAGCACAGAGTTCACTATGAGGAAGCATGGTGGAGAGAAGGGGGTGCCATTCCGAGTACAAATTGATACCTTCAAGGAAAATGAGAATGGGGAATACACTGAGCACTTACACTCAGCCAGCTGCCAGATCAAAGTCTTCAAGGTATCCTGAACCATGCACTGGCCTCTTTAGGGTGGGGTGTTGAGACAGGGTTTCTCTGTGTAGCCCTGGCTGTTCTAAGAACTCATTCTGTAGATCAGGTTGTTCTCAAACTCAGAGATCTGCCTGCTTCTGCTGAGATTAAAAGTATGTGCCGCCATGCCCAGCTAAAGCCCTTTTCTTTATCATTCCATTTTAACTTGAGGTGCCAAGATAATAAGTCAACTTGCCTGTTTTCAGAACTACAAATTATCTGAGATAGATTCTGAGACAAGCTCTGAAATACCACTTAGGGTTGTTTACATGGGGATTGGTGTGGGGCAACAAGAACTCGGAAAGCAGGTGGCAGGCCAAGCTGCTTCTCATTAAAGCCTGCTGGCTTGTAAGCATGCAGAGTTGATTGGTTTAGGTACATGAATAGTTTGTGTTTCTGCTATTTATTATTTTTGTTGTTTTGAGGCAGTCATGAGGCAAAAATAGGTTCTAAGGTGTGACCTCAGATTTGCTAAGTAGTCAAGGTGTCCTTGAACCCCCTATACTTCTGTTTCTGCCTCTAAGTACTGGGACGATAGGCATGTACCACCATCCCCTGCTTTGTCTTTGTTTTTATCATATGAATAAATATATTCTCATTGCAAGAAATTCAGGCCAAGTGTAGTGGCTCACAACTATAGTCTTAGCACTTAGCCTGAGGCAAGATTGCTGTAATCTGTACAAACCTGGGTTACATATCAAGATCAGGTGAACTAGGAGTACGGTACATAGCAAGCCTCTATCTCAAAAAATCAAGAAGGAAGCTGGGAAGGAGGGAAGGGCGGCCATGAGTCAGTGATCTAAAATACATGGAGCACTGCACTGTAACCTCCCTCACTTACTCTTCCCAAGCCTGTAACCTCTCTCCAGAGGTTACTATTGTCACAGTTTGTTATACATGCTTCTGGTCCCTTCTGTTCTTTAATGAACGTGTATGCATAGGTACACATATTTTCTCTTCTTTGAAACATAAGTGGGAGTATACTTTATGCGTGGTTTTGAGACTTTATTTTTTTTCAGTTAGCCATGTATTTTAGTGGTCTTTCTATCAATTTTTCCAACTGCATCAAACATTTAAATATCCTATTTTCAGACGGTGAGGGTGATGCACAGAGTCTTTACATTACTGTACTCACACGTTTGTTTCGTTTGTGAGTATTTAAGAGCTTTAAAGTATTATTTCTGGGTCAAAGTATGATTACTTGAATTTAAAGCAACTTATTTCTCATTTCAGCCTAAAGGTGCAGACAGAAAACAAAAAACTGATAGAGAGAAAATGGAGAAACGAACACCCCATGAAAAAGAGAAATATCAACCTTCCTATGAAACAACCATACTCACAGAGGTAAAAGGATTTTTCAGTTCATAATTTTTACTCTTATTCATTCATTCATTATGTGGGGCTGGGATCAGACTTAGGGTCTTGTGTATGTTAGGCAAGCTCTCTATTACCGAGCTACGTCTCCATTCTTATAAGTGTCATTCACAAAAGAAAAAATAAATTAAAAAACATATATATGTATATATTCCTTTCCAGCCTAGTCTAAACTTGGTTCTGCGCATATTTTCTTGACTGATGAAGATGTGCTAGTGAAGTGAGAGTGTTTATGGGAGCACTGACTGACAGAGCGTCCTTTCTTGTTCCCTACGTTCTCCTTTGTTTTCAGTGTTCCCCATGGCCTGAGATCACCTATGTTAACAATTCCCCATCACCTGGCTTCAACAGTTCCCATAGCAGTTTCTCTCTTGGGGAAGGGTAAGTCTAGGAAATGCATTTGGGTTATATTTGAACCAAATATATATTCTTTTATTACATTTCCATTATCAAGTTCTTTCCAAATTAATAAGTGCTTCCATTTGGTTATTCTTTGACCAATTTTTGTACTGGTTAAGGTTTGGACTCTCCTGAAAAGAGATGGAGTTTTATCTAAGAACTTTTCCCCTCAGATGGTGTCAGGTAACATCAGTCACTGTCAGGTAACATCAGAAGGTGTCAGGTAACATCAGATGGTGTCAGGTAGCATCAGATAGTGTCGGGTAACATCAGAAGGTGTCAGGTAACATCAGAGGGTGTCAGGTAACATCTGATGGTGTCGGGTAACATCAGAGGGTGTCAGGTAACATCAGGTAATGTCAGGTAACATCAGACGTTGTCAGGTGCTATCAGAGGGTGTCAGGTAGCATCAGATGGTGTCAGGTGATATCAGATGGTGTCAGGTGATATCAGAGGGTGTCAGGTACCATCAGATGGTGTCAGGTACCATCAGAGGGTGTCAGGTACCATCAGATGGTGTCAAGTGCTATCAGAGGGTGTCAGGTACCATCAGAGGGTGTCAGGTGATATCAGATGGTGTCAGGTGATATCAGAGGGTGTCAGGTACCATCAGAGGGTGTCAGGTGATATCAGATGGTGTCAGGTACCATCAGATGGTGTCAGGTAACATCAGGTAATGTCAGGTACCATCAGAAGGTGTCAGGTGATATCAGATGGTGTCAGGTGATATCAGATGGTGTCAGGTGATATCAGAAGGTGTCAGGTGATATCAGATGGTGTCAGGTGATATCAGAAGGTGTCAGGTAGTATCACATGGTGTCAGTGTCAGGTAGCATCAGATAGTGTCAGGTGACTTCTATGGGAGATTTTAGTTTTGGTGTTTTGATGAACCTTATCTTGTTTGCTTTGTGTTTGTTCCCTTTCCTTTTCAGACTTGCCCCAGAGAGTGGGCCTGGGAATTAGAAGCACAATTGTATAGACATTTTTTTTCCCTTGTTTTAAGAATTGTCATGAGGCCTGAGGTGTTACTCAATAGTAGAGCATTTGGCTGACATGCATTAGGCCTTGGGTTTGATCTTCAGTATCACAGTTAAGAAGCATATTAGAAGAAGGAAACCACAACAACAACAACCACAAGCATATAAAAGAAGGAACAAACTGTTGGACTGTGATGTTTCAGTTTGGATTTGTTTATACTGTGTTTAACCTACTTCTTACAAGATTTAAAAAGTACCTTAAATATTTGAATATAACAGTTACTCTTTGGTATTAGTTAAAAAAGGAATACATCTGTCTAAAACCCTGATGTCATTACTGAGTTTGAATAACTATGATAGAAATGAAGAAGAAAAAGGAATTTGTTTTTTAGGACAGGGCCTTGCTGTGTACTATTCCAGGCTGGCCTTGAATTATAATATAGCCAGGCTAGCCCTAAGTTCACAGCAGTCCTGCTGCCAGACTCCCTAATCTTGGGATTATAGGCATGAGCTGCCATTGCTACACTATCTTTCATTTTTTGTTTGTTTGTATACAGTGGTCTTTGCTCTGTTTCTAAGCTGGCCTTGAACTCCTGGAGCCAACCATCCTCCTGCCTCAGCCTCTCAGGTAGCTGGCTATAGATGTGCACCACTACATCTGAACCAGAGGAGCTCTTGAAATAAAAGGATTTTTTTTTTTATTATCCTTTGGGGCATGATACTGTCCACTTGGAGGTGGTTTAAAATACCTGCAGTTTAAGGGTTGAGTTTTACATTTTTTTTCTCCTTAACTTTTTCTCTCATAGAGAAAATAAATATTAAATAAAAGAAACTATAAGAAAAACAAAACTGTGGAGATAAATATTGAATGACAAATTAGCACTAATTTTGAATCAACTTTAACCGTAATGGATTGGGGAGCCAGAGATATATATGGTTTAGTAGGTGAGAGTGCTTGCTTCCCAGTTGTGAGAACCAGAGTTTAGAACCTACACCCATGAAATCAGGTAGACCTCTCACAAACTCCTGTAATTTAGCTTCACCAGTGCCCTCTTCTGGCTTCCACATTTATGTATATACACTGACACGGATCTTTTAATATACTTTCACAGACACACACACACACTCACGGGTGGATGGATGGATGGATGGTTGGGTAGGTAGATAATTAGGTATACAC